AGTTAGGGTAAAAAGACCCCAAAGAAAAGTAGACAGTTTCTTGGCTAAGCCAAGAATGTCAAAAATATTTGGGAGCTTGTATCTAATCCCTAAAAGATTTTAGGGTTACCTCTTCAGAGTGCGGGAATGTTAGAGTAGCAAAAAGCCCATAAAAGAAAATTAAAAGAGTACATGAAGTTGTTCAGGAAAAAGTGATGGGGAGATATGGGAGGAGTTGGAGGAGAGGGAGTGGGCATGGATTTGATCAAAACTCCTTATATGCACATATGAAATTCTCAATAATGGTTTTGGGGGTTTTTTTGTTTTGTTTTTGTTTTTTTTTTGGTCTTTTTTTTTTTTTTGAGACAGGGTCTCCCTGTAGCCCCAGCTGTCCTGGAACTCACTATGTAGACCAGGCTGGCCTTGAACTCACAGAGATCCACCTGCCTCTGCCTCCCCAGTGAGTGCTGGGATTAGAGGCATGCACCACCACGCCCGGCAATAATGCTTTTTTAAAGTTAAAAAAAAAAAAAAAGAAGTTACCTGTGATATTTGTGAGGTTGGCTTTCTTTTTAGCCTTAAAATACCCTTCACCTCACACCGCCATTGTGCCTAGCCCACAGGGGCACTCCATAAAGACTGCTGAAGTGGACTGAACATCAGTGCTTTCGAATTCCGATGATCATCTCTCCAACTAGGTTATTCATAGTGTAATAATTTCACTGGCAAAAATCAGAGAGGACATTTGGAATGCAACTTGCCTTCTCAAATCTTCCTCCAGTAGCACTTAATGTTGAGCCTAAGGCCTCTCAGGATACAGAGGAATCTACGGAGAGGAATTTGGTGACGTGCAGAGAGGGTTTAGGTGCTTTCTGCTTTCGGTTCAGTGTAGGGTACTGTGAAAAGCCGGAAGTGCCCTCCGTAGTGTTAAAGCAGCACTTTCCAAAGAACTCTGGAACAAAGCCACCTACATCCTCAATCCTTTTTAAGGAAAAAAAAAAAAATGAAACAGAACAAATTGGCCCAACGGCTGCATTCTTGGGATATTTGAGACAATGCTCATCTTTTCACAAAGGCCTGAGCATCCACAGGGAGAGCAAGTTGGCCTTGCCATGGCTCAGCCCCAGGAAGTCTGGGACTCTGAAGTGCTACCTTGTCAGCTGGGATGGTGAGCTCATCTTCAGGTTCTCTCTCTCTCTCTCTCTCTCTCTCTCTCTCTCTCTCTCTCATATTGAAGAGATGTATTGTAAAACCTGCTTCTTTCTCGGTGAGCTCACTGAATTGTACATGTGCATGCATCTCCTGAACCTGGCTATACACAATGACAAGCTGTCTTATTGAGACAATAACATGTAAGAAAAGAAAATGAACACTGACAGGAAAAGAAAAGCCTGTTCTTCATCTAAAATGACAGAAATTCTTTGTGCTTAGAATGAGTGCCTTTATCTTTTCCAGGAAAAAACATTTCTTGTTTAGTATCTACAGTTACCATTTTCAAAACCTTTTAGAATGACTGACTACTGATGTAGATTTTGTGGTGGGTTTTTTTTTCTCTCAGTTGACCTGCACCTTTCACAGATCCATATGGAGCCTGCTCATTATTAAATGTCCTTTCTTACAGCATATTTTTAATGTGCCTCAAAATGATAACCAAAGGTGCCTCACTAAATTAATTGGAAGTATCTGCTAAGGTAGCCTTCGTGGTTTTGTTAAGGAATTTATTTTTAGAGCAACTCCCAGAAGAATTTATCAGTAAATTGCTTTGTATATTCTTGGCATAAAATTATCTCCAACCAAGAATATTATAATTCTTTTCCTCCTAATATTGAAAGAAAAATGAAACTATCTTCAAACAGTTCTAGCTTGGATATTGACCCCTATGTCAGTAATTTTAGGAGTGCTCCTGTCAGAAACTATAAAGTCGAAGATTCAGAAAGGGCGATGAGTTAAAGAGTGAAGAAAAGCAAAGATTAGAATTTCAAATAAATGCCGTTAACTGAAGAACAGCTCAAATGAGAGCCAAGGAGAGAGAAGAATGTCCACTCCAAGAGCCTGAGGGTGCGGGATGGAAATGAAGCCAAAGGAAAACTGAACCCGGAAGGAAATCTAGTCTCTGTTATTGACACTTTCTGATGTAGGCATAACCTTGGAGATTTTAGTCTGCTCCCTCACTGGTAAACAAGAAGTTGGCACTGGTAACACTTCCTCCAGAGTGCATGACATTCCAGTTTCTGCCCTGTCACCTCCAGACACATGTGAGTCAGATGGGCAGGTGGGAGATTTGACCGCACTGCTTAAGTGGGAAGAGAACCTGGAGAAGCCTCAAAGGTTTGGTGTGGCCATGCTTCTTTCTCTTTCAATGCATCTTTGTAGTTTATCTGGGCATAAAGAATACAGGAAGTCATCTGTATACCATGAATTGAACTGCAATCCCAACTGGCAGTTGTCTGGTGCTTTTAAATGGTTGAAACACCTCGCCTAAAAGTATTGGGCCAAAACATACAGTTCTCCCAAGTGCTTAGGGAATTAAGTCAATGAGAACAGTCAATTGTCTGGGTTTTCTTTATTGGTATCCTGTCTTGACCAGGTAGCAATAGCTGTACATACCATGTTCTAAGTACCTCTTTGAGGTCTTGAGTTTTGGGGCCTTGTCTTAATAGTCCTCTTGCCCTTTGAGCTATCTCAACTGGAAAGGTTAAGGAAGAGTCAAGTGAGATGATTAAGAGAGGTTTTAAATAGTAGAAGGTTGAAATCTACCTGTGTGAAATCTCAAAGTGGATCAAAGACCCTAATGTAAGACTTAAACTCTGAAACTCCTAGAAGAAAACATGGAGAAGACACTTTGAGTGTAGGCTTAGGCTATAAAACCATTGGTCACACACCAAAAAAGACCTAAAAGTAGAAGGAAGAGAAATGGGAAGAGAAAGCAGATCAGCCGGCGTGGAGGGGGCCAGGGAGGCAGTGGCGTGAACATGACCAAAATACATTATGTATATGCATGAGAATGTCATAGTGAAACTCACTATTGTATATAATTAATATGCTAATAAAACTTTCAAATAGGAAATTTGAGATTAGCTGAAAAAAAGGAAAAATGTTCAGCCTGGTGCCCTGCTTTATCTTACTGCAATATTACTATTTGTGGTGCTGGTCTCTTGGGAAACTGGGCCTTTTTCTTATTCATTTTCATGTCCCTCCACGTCCCATATCAGACCTGGGCTCATCCACACTCAGGGTATTTCCCTTTACATGCAGGATATTTCGTTATCAGGTTAGTACTGACATCTTTCCACCTTTGCCATAGTCCATACAAGGAGGAATGAATGATTTGCCTAACTGGGTAGACCAGAAAGGGCTTTCTTCATTAATTTTCTAAAGGGAGCATGGAGTCTTTCACTCTTCTGTGTCACAAATCTGGTGTGGAATCCAGTCCGGTACTTTCCAGGGCCGTGTCAACAAGTCTGCCCAGTAATATGAGCACTCTGCGCACAAACACTGAAGGGTAAAAAGATCCCTGTTGGAAAGATGGGTTAGAACCAAATTGTAGAAAATATATTATACCCCCATGGATGACGCTGGCACGGATCCTTTTTTTCACATTTATTTGTGTGTCTATTTGTGTATGTACGTGCACACACATGCACATGCCGCAGGACCATGACAACACATGTGGAGGTCAGAAGAAAACTTGTGGGACTTGGTTCTCTCCCTGGTCCTGGGATCAAACTCAGGTTGTCAGGCTTGGAAGCAAGCACCTTTACCCACTGAGCCATCTTACCAGGCCCCAGCAGATCCCTTTTAACATGCCCAAATTGACAAGAAATGAAAACATGCCCAGCATGCTGGGTTTGATCCCCGGCACCGCAAGAAAAAAGAATGGGAACGTTATACACAACCAATTCTAATATAAATGCTTAGAAATGCTGCTTTGCTTTTGGTGTCTGAGAGTTTGGGCAACTCTGTGTTGAGAAGATAAAAACTAGGTATCCCACGAGGCATGGTGACGCATGCCTTTAATCCCAGCACTCAGGAGGCGGAGGCAGAGGCAGGCAGATCTCTGTGAGTTCAAGACCAGCCTAGTCTACATACTGAGTTCCAGGCCAGCTGTGGCTACAGGGAGACCCTGTCTGAAAAAGACCAGAAAAAAAAGGGGGGTTATCCATGTTTTAAATTCTGTATGGCGTACACTTGGGATCTTTCTAAAGCTATTTTAAACTAAGATTTAATTATTATAAATGCATCATTTGGGGGAAAAAGACCTGCTAACTCAGTTTTTCTCCACGTGTAGTTCAGGCCTCCACCTCAGGGTCATCTGGACACTTGTCAACTTCAATGTACACAGAAGAACAAAAAGTGTGTGTGCATGAGTGTGTGTATATGTGTGCATGTGTAAATATATGTATGTGTGAATTATGTGCATGAATGTTTGTATGAGTGTGAATGTGTGTGTACATGAATGTGTTTATGTGTGTGAATGTGTTTGTATGTGCATGCATGTGACTATATGTGTGGTATGTTGATGTGTGTATGAATATGCATGTGAATGTATGTATGAATGTGAACATGTGTGCGTGTATGTATGAATGTGTGTGTGTGTATGTGTGAATGTGTATGTGGCTAAATCTCATTCACTGACCATCCTTACTGCAATAGTCTGTCTTTTCTAAAGACTGGAGCAGCTTTCTCATCAAAGAACATCATCAGAACTCCTGCTGGACCTTATTATGCACTTGGCCATTTTATGTATTGCTGATGTGTCTTATGAACGAAAACTAAAACTGGATCATTTTAAACCTTAAAAGCAGAGACAGACACACCCTTTAAAAGAACAAGAACACTTTCAATTTCCCCCAAGAATCATAGCTTAATCAAGTTTTCCTCTTCTGGTTCTAAGTGACTGAGGTGACAGCTAGGAACTTGAACCACAATGCTCTAAGGCAGCACTTGCAAGTTTGTATCCCACCCCACTTGCATGTGAAAATTGAGAAGCTTTACTTGCGCTGCTTTGTGTCTTTTTACAGATCATGCAACAAATGAGTGACCATCGTTATGACAAGCTCACTGTGCCTGATGACGTGGCTGCCAACTGTATATATCTAAATATCCCCAACAAAGGACACGTCTTGCTGCACCGAACCCCAGAAGAGTATCCAGAAAGTGCAAAGGTAAAAGCACCACCTCTCCTGCAACTGGCCTTCCTGGTGACCTTTTCCTGATAGAATGACAAAAGGGGTTTTCCTTTTCCTCTACACATATCAAAACATTGAAACAGCAGAAGGGATCATTCAGAACACATCAAGGATGGTATATTTAATTTTTCTGATTCATGCCACTGGTCTATTCATGCCACTGCCTCCTATTCAAAGTTGTTCAGGTAACTCCAAGGTAACTTAGTTGGTAGGGTGCTCAGTTAGTGTACAAAAAGTCCTGGGTTTTGTCCCTAAGACTGCACAAGCAGGGTACAATGACACACACACACACACACACACACACACACACACACACACACACACACACACACACACACCTGTAATCCCAGCACTTTAGAGGTGGAGGCAGGAGGAACCGAAGCTGGAGATCATCCTCAGCTACATAATGAGTTTGAGGTCAGCCTGGGCTACAATGAGATGCTTTTAAAAAATGAAAAAAAAAAGAGAGAGAGAGAGAGAGAACTCCAACCACCCAAATCTACACTGCAGTTCTGAGTATGCATTAGATGCTCTTTAAGCATGACATCCAACAATCATATTCTTAATTGTGTTACTGATTTCTGACAAATTCGAGCTGCTCTTTAGCAAAGACTCATTTGCTTCTTAAGGCAGAGGAGCATGAGTGACCCAGAAAAGTGAGTGCTCACTGGCAAAGCTTTAAAAAGAGGGGGCTACCCATCCTAGAGGGTGGGAAGGTCGAGCAGGAACAAGCTGGCCAATCTCACCACGAGTCTCTGCTTTGTGTTCCAACAAGGATGTCATCCCTGGAAGCCGGCGTTTTTCCTCTAAGGAAATCTCAGTTGTCTTTCAGAGCACTCTTCTGGTTTCACTGTACCTGTAATCATTTCTGTTTCATCCTAACAAGCATTGGTAACCATGTTCAGCCATAAATTTTTCAGTTGTCCATAATTTCTAGACTTTCTGACATCTTCAGCTCTGCCCAGAGGAACATAGTGTTTACTACAATAATACAGAAGAACCTTCAGTATCCATTGACGTTTTTATGTCTTGTGCTTTGAAAACTTTGTTTTTTGCCACTATGTGTGTGTGCGTGTGTGTGCGTGTGTGTGCGTGTGTGTGCGTGTGTGTGCGTGTGTGTGTGTGCGCGCGCGCGCGCACATGGAGGCCAGAGAAAACCTCAGAAGTCATCCTTCAAGTGCTTTCCACCTTTTTTTTTAGACAGGATCTCCCACAAGGCTGGAACTCACCAAGTAGGCATAAGCTAGGCTGACTGGCCAGCGAGCCCCAGGCATCCACCTGTGTCCACCTCCCCAGTGCTGGGATTGCAAGCATGTGTCACCAGAGCCCAGAGTTTTTTCACACGGGTTCTGAGTATAGAGCTCAGATCTTTATGCTTGCAAGACAAGCACTTTCCCAACCAAACCATTTCTTGTTCTACTTTTCAAATTTGCATTACTGTCATGACTAGCTTTACCCTCTCACCATGGTCACTCAGCAGATTAAACGGGAGTGAGGGAATTAACAGAGTTAATTTTGCCCTACTTCTATGGCAGAAGAGTAAACATGAGGAAAATATAGGATTCTTGATATCAGACTCAGACTGAAGCAACTCTTAGGTGAACAATGGATCTTTTGTTTTCAAAAATATTTTGTTATTTTTATTTTATGTGTATGAGTGTTTTGCCTGCATGTGAGTGTACCATGTGTATGCAATCCTGCGGCGGTCAGAAGAGGGCGTCAAATCCCCTGGAACTGGAATTATGAATCATTGTTAGCTGCCATGTGAGTGCTGGGACTCCAACCCGGGTCCTCAGGAAGAACAGCAAGTGCTCTTAACTGCTGAGCCATCTCTCCAGCCCTGAACAATAGATTCTATAGTTTTATGTGCTCAGGATTTAAAATGTGGGCTCCTGGGCCCCCATCCTAGACTCTGCAACATAAGCAAGATCCCAGCTCAGACAACCCACTTTGAGGACTTCCCTGCCTCTTCAGCCTCATCAATCACCTAGCAACAGGGTATCATTCTCTGCCTCCTAGTCCAGCCCAGGGTCTGTCAACAGTAGGATGACATCAGTAACACCCCTGCTTACCAAGGCTTCTCTTGTGCCAGGTATGCTCTAAACATTATCTTATTTAGTCCCCATAAAAGCCCTATAAGGGTAGTAGTATTATCCCAGCCTTCCAGAAACATACACAAGTTCACAGGGATGTCACTTAGCTGAAACCATAGCAGCAAGTTGACAGAACTAGATTAGGAACCCAGCTGGCTCCAGAGCTCCAACCAATGCACTGAATTTTAAGGAACATAGTGTTTCCTGAAGAATCACAGTAGATTGCTTTTAAGCAGCATTTTCAAATGATTTTGTTTTTTAAAGTGTGCTTTGTTTGATCACAGGGGGGAAAATCTGTGGGCTGTTAATTAGATGTTTTGACACATACTTTCCTTTATGGTTGAAAGATGCTATAAAATTCACACCTACAACTTAAACACAGTGTGACCTGCAGTATACGCTTAGGTTGCATTCCATCATGTTTTTCTAGTGGAATCCGTAAGGAAAGAAACATGAAAGTAGAAAGTGTCTTAAAGTGAAGAGAGGAATGTTCACACTGAGCACAGAACCGTGGGCTTTTGATTATCACTTAATTGAGGAACGGCAGTGGCAGAAGGAGGCATCTCTAGCAACAATCATGTTGATGACACATCTTTGGCTTTGAGGTTAAAATACAAAACAAGTGGTTAACCAATTATGACCGGCTCTGGGGGAGGGTTGCAGGCCATGTGTATCTTAAGGTTAAATTAAAAAAAGCAAAGAGGCACAAACCGAATTATTTATACCTGGGGGTCATAAAAAAGGTCAAGATGTAATTCTCCCATCTCTCCTCTCCCCTTGATTCCTACTGCGTTACAGGTTTATGAGAAACTGAAGGACCATCTGCTGATCCCTGTGAGCAATTCTGAAATGGAAAAGGTGGACGGATTGCTCACCTGCTGCTCAATTTTAATTAACAAGAAGGTAGACTCCTGAGCTTCGAGTCCCTCCGTGGTAGCCAGCAAAGTGGCCTAAGCCAGGCCAATGGCTCTGTACCCACTCCTGTTGTTTTCCTTGACAATCTACTGTGCCACTATGCTACTAACTCTTGTTTACAAAAAAATTAATTCCAATTTTAATTGCTTCATTTTCTGAGCCCCCCCCCCTTCCTTTTACGGTGGTACCTAACCTGTGGATTTACTAAATGAATTAAGCAACCTAGAAAACATAGAACTAAAGAGTCATTGAAATGTGATTAATAGTGGTATGGAAACACTCATTTCCATGTTTGTATTATTATTGTACAAATCATTTAGTTGCAGTGTATTACAAAAAGTGTTGATCAGCCAGATAAGCTAGGGATTTTTTTTTGCCTATATCATAAATCATATTTTGTTCCTATGAGATTTCCAGGGTTCTCTACATTTTCCTTTCTTCCAAACTCTGAAAACCTTTTCCCCAGATACTTTCTTTGGCCTTTCCCATTTCTCTCACAGCCACCTTGACCTTGGGTAAAATCCAAGAACTTCTGAAGGTTCACCCTATGTGCATTGTTCCACCTCACGGCCACATCTTCTGCCATAACCCTGTTCTCCCTCCCCTAGAGGAGAACACAAGCTCCTCAGTAGAAGTGTGACCCAACTTAGAGTGGCTGACTGGGGAGGTATGGACTACACAGAGGCATATCGTGACAGGGTTTGCCCCAGAGACCTAAAATTCCAGTAGAAGGAGGGCACCACACTAGGAAGGTAAGTGGTTGGTAGGGGAAGGAAGATCACGAAGCCTGGAAACACGCATGGGTTCACCTTGGAAAGTCTCTGAGTCACATGCCATGAATTTTGCCTAGTGACTGGTCCTATAAGAACAAGGAAGAAGGTCTCATTTTTTTTTTTTTCTGACTCACCTTGTATCTACTCTTTGCAATCATCAAGATCTAGCCAAGTCATTTCCTTCAAAAGAGACATAGCATCTAAAATGATTATTGATGGTCTAATGAGAGCCAGCAGGAGCCGCCCCCACCTCTTTGGTCAAGGAGCACGGTCAGGAAATGGTATCTAAAGCCAACTTAGACAATGCATGAGTGTACTTTGAAATATCCATGAATGTTTACTGTGGAATTCAATTAAAACTTCTTTCCTCTCTAGCCTTCACATTACACAACTTCCAGCTGACATGGGTCTCTTACAAAGAACAATGCCACAGAGAAGGAAGAGAACATTCTTTTTTCTTAAAGCTGAATCAGGTCAGGGACATGGTAATTTCCAAGGCCATCCAGGCATGTCTTCAACCTTCCTAGTCATCTCTACCTTCCCTGTGCTGTGTATGGCTCGTTGTTTAACATTTAAAACCAGGGAGACAAAGAAAGGCTACTTCAAATCTATCTCTGGTCACCTCTGTAATCAGAGTTCCTTATACTGATGACCATCGAGAGAATTGCCTTCCCTCCCTTTTCCCTCAGTAGATGCAGGTAAGGAGTCCCTGAGAAAATCAAGGCATCCTTAACCACTGTCTGTCTTTTACATGTATTTGACAGCTCTTTGAAGAAATTGCTTCTGTTCTCTCTCTTCTTTATTGTCTAAATTTGGATTCATTTCACATGCAAATATCTTAGTACATCCTGTGAATGAACCATATCTTGGTCACTATCAAATTTCAAAACATCTCATCCTAGATGAATAATATGAATAATATGTTCTTAACAGAGAGACTGGATGTTAGCCACATGCCCAAGTTAATAAAGAAATAATGCTTTCAGCAATCATGGTTGCCCTTTTGGGTTAAATCTGGCCCTATACTAGCAAAAAGGAGAAATTCTCCCTGTGAGAGCTGACCATCTCAAAAAAAGAAAAAGCACTGGAAAAACACCCCACCAAGCCAGTTTAGGCTAACCGACATAATGTTCAACAGTATTCCCTCGGTCATCCCAGATTAAAGAATTGTTCTCCATTAGGGTGAACAGATTCTTCTTTGTAACAGTGTGTTCTCCCAAAGGTGGTTTTCCATTTTCCCTCTGCGTCCTTCTTTCCTTGTTTGTCTTGAGAAATCGCTTAGAATCTCTGTGCCTCTCTTTCCATCTTAGCTCTTTGCTGCTGTTATAAACTGGCCTGACTACTTTGGACTCTCTGTGTGATTCGGTGATGTTAAACCCAAAACACTTGCAGCACAGTAGTATTACTGCTGTGACGTTCTCATCAGCATAATGTTACCTTTGAAAAGGAAAGACGCTTGCTACCTAAGTTCTTTTCTTGTCCATTGTGACTTACAAAAACTGCTTTTTGACGTTATAAAGACATGGGGAATTATATTTAAATAAGTATAAGTCAGAATTATTTGCTCAGTATGATTCAATTTAATGAAAGAATATACAGCGAATTCATAATTCAGCATTGTCTTCAGTGATGGATTGCTGTAGGAATTGGTGGCAGACCCCTCTGTTACATGTTGATTGCTATTATACACTACTATGAACTGATTACTAAGGCCATCTCTTCATCTCTAAGAAGGGAAATTAGTCTGTAGTTGATAGTGTGACTTACGTAGGGTTGCATGTCAGTCTTTGTAACTATTCACTCTTTAACAAGCTACAGAACTCAGACATGATTTCAACATGGTGTTAGGTTTGTGCTTTTTTCTCTTCCTGCCTATCATCTTCCAGACAGTGTGTGGTTAGCCAGTCTGTGTGCCAAAACCAGTCATGCCTCCCATGGCCCATTGGTCCAGAAGAGGTCTGCACCAATGTTAGTCTCTTGCTGCCTGATCCTACATGTACGCCAGTTATGATGGAATAAAGTGTGAGTTGTGCTTGTGCTCGACAGCGTCTGTCTCTTTTTTGCAACGTTGACCTCTGTGGAGAATAAAATCACCCTGTTACTTTCAGGGAGGGTGTTTTCTCTCTTGTCCTATAGGCTGTGGAATTGGAAATGTGGTGCCTATAAATCAACTGCCATCAAGGCTTGGGCTAAGATGGTATTTGAAATGCTGCTTCACACTTGAGGCGCCTCAGAGAGCAGGTATTCTCGATGCTGGGCCAGGAGAGCTTGCTTTCACCTGTGCCTCTCCATAAACGGTACCTGTCTCTTCTTCCCTTCTACTGCTAACCCTGGATGGCATTATGGCATTCAGTTTTGGGAGCAGCTGAATTATTTTTCTTTCTTTGTTCATGCTGGGGAGCAAAGTGGGATAGCAAGGGGAAGGGAGGGAGAGGAGAGAGTAAATATGGTCAGAGTACATGATATACTTATGAAAACGTCGTTGTGAAACCCATCCTGTGAACAATTACTGTAGACCCAGAAAAAAATTTTGAAATGTTTTGTTTTTCGTTTGTTTTAGAGTCAACATTTTAAAGGTTGTTTTTTATGAGGCTTTTTATTTCCAATAACTTTCTGTAATCTGAAAGAGCTGTATTTTTATTAAAAAATAATAACTATTCACTGTAAAAATCAAATCCATGCCATGCAAAAATGCTATTAAAAAATAATAAAGGTAGGAGCCAGCAAGATAATTCAGCGGGTAAAAGTGCCAACAATCCAAGCTTCACAGCCTGAGTTCAAGTCCCAAATCCATGTAAAGGTGGAAGGAGAAAACTGACTCCCACAAGTTTTCCTCTCGCCTGCACTGTGGCATGCGCACAGCCATGCCTAAGAAATAAAATTTAATTTTTTTGTATTAAAGAAAAATTACCCAAAATTTCATCACCCAGAGATAATTGCTGTTATCATTTCAGAAGTTACCACACATTTATGAACATAAATATTGAATAATTTTACATCATCATCTAGAGTCTGTTTTCTTTGTTTAGCAATGCATTATGGGCGTCTTTCCACCTCAGTAAACACCAATCTATATTATCAATCTTTTTGAGACAGCGTCTCCCTGTAGCCCCAGCTGGCCTGGAACTTGCTATATAGACAAGGCTGGCCTCAATCTCACAGAGATCCTCCTGCCTCTGACTCCTGAGTGCTGGAACCATATATCATCACCCTTAACAGCCCCAAAACATTCCATAGTGCAGCTATTGAGTGATCCTTTCTAAATTACACTGTTACATCACATCACACCTGGCCAGTATGCCCATACTGTCTTTACTCAAGGGTCATCAGGCTGCCAAACCTTATTGCTTATGAGCTTCCACACAGCCCCATAGTTAGTTCAGTCTTATAAATGAATGGTACATGGCAATGTTTGCCAGGTGCACAGAAGCAGTCCTAAAACTTTTTGGGGAAGTTGCTGATGTAATCTTACTTTCTGTTGATAGTGTTACATTAACTAGCTCTCTGTTATCTAGATTGACACTGACCTTGAGCTCAATGCCAAGTGCCATCTCTCCAAACCCCAACAGGAAACGAAACCGTCCCAGTGAGTGCCCGAGTACACTGCTCGTCACCCAGAAGAGGGGGCAGGAGGGGGCTCTTTAATGGAAGCCTGTATGGCAAGGATTCTCTTGCTCCCAGCTTTCCAAATGGATGAATATCCTTTCAGGACAAGCTACAGCTTCTAGAAATGGGAATTTTTCTGAAGAATACGAATCAATATTAGTTTTAGACAAGTACCCTTGTCAAGCCCTGAACTGCATACAGCTCCTGTCCTTTCAGAAGTAGCTGGATATTTGGAAGAGGCAGGGAAGGAACACCACAAATGCACAAATATTTTGGGATGTGTTTAACCACAAAAAGGGGAGTTACCAAGAGGGTGCTAGGAAGAGTAACCTATTGCATTTTTTGGAGTGGATGTAACGTGCAGTTCACAGTTCAGTGCAGTGCAGTGTGTGTGTGTGTGTGTGTGTGTGTGTGATCAGTGTGGGGGTAGAAGGCTTCCAGGCTAAGCGACCAACTTGAGGAGAGGTGTAGTGGGAACAAGCGGTGTACACTTCAGAAGCAAGTATTGGTTGTGCCGATTACACATACGAGGCCCTTGGGAAACGAGTCACAGACCCTGCCTTCCTGCAGAGGGCATGTGGCAAAGAAGACAAGGAAGACAGACACTAAACAAACCACGGCAAGAGTGGTGGGCATTAAGAAGGGTGCTCAGAACAGATAGTAGAGGTGAGCAAGATCTGTTTCACTAAAACCCTGAGAAACATAAAGGCACAGTGAGACGATGCAGGTTGGAATGCGGAGGGCCCTGTCTGGTAGTCGGACTGCACCTGGCAGTCTTTTAGGGTTCCCCAAGGACATTTGGATCTGACAGTGATAGTGGAGCTTAACCTGGCAGCATTATAAAGGAAGAGTGGAAACTGAGAAAGACTAGTGTTTCTCTATGTTTGATTTCTCCAAGTCTAGTTTATTTAAACATCTCTTCTTACCATCAAAGCAAAGCCTGAAAGCCAAGCAATTAACTCTCCGTCTATTGCTATCCTGACAAAAAAAAGAAAAGATTAATAACATCTTCCCCTCCAGCTCCAAAGGGACATTTTCAATGCAAATGAGATAAAAGAACTGAAGGGTTCTTTGGACAAGAGGTATAATGTAAATATCATTATCATCATCATTATCCTCATTAACTCTTATCACAGCACGTTTGGATCCCATCAAATGTCAACTTCTATTTGAAACATCAATCAAGCAGTCCAGAAATAACTCGGGGCTTTCATCATTGATGCCTCTGAGCTGGCCTGACAGCTTCCAAGGTGAATTCACAGGTGTCCTTGGCATCTGATGTGGCTGATCCATTAACCTGTTAGGAAAATTCATTAGGAAATTGTTGACCAGGTGGAATGTTCCTTGCTCTCTTCTCCTGCACAAAGTTATTTCTAACTTAGTGAAAGCTGGGTTACTTTTAGCACATGGTGTCTAGGGTTATTGGCTGTTAGAGACCATTGAAGTACCAAATATGTAAACATCACTATAAATAAATACTCAAAGGAGTATGCCAGGGAGCCACTTGGTAAAATGGTGCGTAGGCTGGCTCCTGACATGATGCTTAGAAGCAATGATGTGTCTCTAGATGATGGGAAGCCCCTTCTATTTATAGGTAGCAGCTTCAATTGTTTTGTTAAAATAGAAAAAGGGCTTGGGTGAATTAACACAGATTTAAGAAGGGAGTTTACTTTTTCCCAGGCTTAATTTTTTTTCCAGTTGGAGATAAAAAGATGAATAAGGGACTAGAGAGATGGCTCAGTGGTTAAGAACACTGGCAGCTCTTGCAGAGGACTCCAGTTCAAATCCAGTCACCCATATGACAACTAACAACCATCCATAACTCCAGTTTCAGAGCTTCTAATGCCCACTTCTGATTTCCACAGGTATTGCACACACGTGTTACACTTAGATACATGCATGCAAAACATTCATATACATGAAATAAAAATATTTTTTAGAGACAGATAAAAATGGTCCCTAAGGCTATAACTTGATTTTTTAATGTACATATAAATTATAAAATAATCATAAATTATAAGTTAACACATAAGTCACATAATGTAGTTACCATTTTCTCTGTGTGTGTAACATTTAAGATCTTCATTTTTTGCAAATTTCAGGTATAAAATACAGTATTGTTAGCTATAATCCCATGGCTATATATTAAATCTCCAGAACTTTTTCATCTCATGTAACTGAAACTTTGTACCTCTTGACCAACATCATCAACTGGTCCATCAACCATTTCCCCTTTTAAAAGTAATTTTCAAGTCCCAGTTCATGGACAAAAGAGCTTATTGATTGAGATTTGAGGTTAAACCCCCAGAGGGCAACTCCTCAAAATACAATCAAAACACTACATGCTATGTGTTGAAATCCCCTCTACCCCAGTAAGGTACAATAATTTCTTATCTCACATTGATCCCAGAAAAGTTCAGAAACCAAACATGTTCTGATTCCAAGCAACAGTCCAGCTTTGGAGAAATGTTAGCTTTATTACTTCTGGAAGGAACTTACGGAATAAACACTGATTCATACATCCAACAGAGGCTTAAAATTCCTGGGCAGGATGTGAACAAAGTCATTTATTTTGTTTACAGGAGCCCAGATGAGTGCGAAAGATCCCCTAGAGCTAACACTAGGACAGAAACAAGAGGTCCTCTTTCCCTTGGCTTGATCATAATGGGAAGCAGAAGGAACATTGTTACCAAACAAGATGATAACAAGGGCCAGTCATGGTTTCTCACATATGTAATTCCAGCAGTCAGGAGGTGAAAGCTGAAAGATTACCAAGTGTTTGGGGGCAGCCTGGGCTACAGAGGAAGGAAGATTCTGTAGCTTAATAAATTGATAAACAATAAATTAATAATAAGCTGGGCCTGGTGGCACATACCTTTAGTCCCAGCACTCAGGAGGCAGAAGCAGGCAGAGCTCTGTGAGTTTGAGGCCAGTCTGGTCTACATAGCAAGTTCCAAGTCAGTCAGAGCTTCATAGTGAGGCCTTGTCTCAAAAAATATTGATTAGGCCAGGAGTGGTGGTGCACGCCTTTAATCCCAGCACTTGGGAGGCAGAGGCAGGTAGATCTCTGTGAATTCCAGGCCAGCCTGGCCTACATAGTGAGTTGCAGGTCAGCTGCAACTGCCTCAAACAGACATATATATAAAAGTGGTAAAAAGGAGTACAGTAGGAAGGAGAATCATTGTTTCCTGGTCGCACGAAGAGATTTTAATGAAGATCTGTTTCAGAGGTCTAAGTGTTAAGGTACAAACAAGGGCTGAATGGGCAGCCCCAAACTAGCTGTCAACAGTACTCCACAGCCCAGCAGGACAAAGAGAGGAAATTGTGTCAGAAACCAGGTTCTGGGCAGGGAAGAATTACCACAGGCTCTCTCTTTTCACTCTCTGAGCTGTGGCTCCCTCCATTGTCCAAAAGCTACTGCAAGATACTGCTGAGGG